TGGCATTTTTCGGCCGTCATTGCTGTTCGTTCATGTTTAATGGAGCATAGAAAATTAGTCCAGATTTCCTCTAAAATAAATTATGTTGGCCACACCACGGCCTGATTTGGATGTATCGGGTTGAGAGAAATGCATGAAATTTAGAGGACAGCTTAAAAAATACCTTGCCATCACACTCGTTAACATTATTTACTCATAGTTAATTTTGAAATCTATAAATTAAAAAAATTTAGACCACACTCGGAGCAAAATAAAAATTCTGAATATGTGTAAATATCGGTTTATTTGGAACACATTGGTAACAGATAAAGAAATCCGGTCGGAAGAAATAATTATTGAGGCAATTTAATCGTAATTAAGCAGAAAACACTTTAATATTTCAATAATATTTATTTTTTCGATGCCCATTTTAACCCCACCCCCCAACCTTATGACAAAAACTATTTCTTTCACCCTATTATAAAATGCAAACTTATTTCGAACAATTTTTCATCCTCATGTGAATCAGTATGCATCCATTAAAAAATTAAAACGAAAAAACCGCACAAGTTTAACGCGCAAGATCATTACATACAGTTCAATTTTTGCCATATTTTTAGAAATCCGTGTTCACCGCGAAGCCCCCTGTCACAGAGTTTTGCCCGTAATTTTCCTATCTTGGGACGGATTTTTATGAAACTTGGTAAATACATTAGATAATCATCATAGATCGGGAAAATAGCAATATACCGGCAAGGAAAAAATTTAAGTTTAATTGCAGGTGTCATAACAGTATTACACTTTGGTTCACGTCAAATCATGGCTGACGAAAAATAATCCCGGAATCTTCCCTTCCGATTCGGGCATTTTGATACGAGACTGGAGCTGAATTTTTTTATGAGATGAAAAACAACATGTAAACTTCCTGTATTGACCAGATTTATTAAAATTTAGGGCGTGCTGATTTTTCTATATACTGTCAAGAGTCGGGAGTGATTAGGCCCTGGACTAGATTTTCAAGCACCTGCTCAACTTCGACCGAAACAAACTTGCGTGCCTTGCTGGATGGCTATGTATTTTTTGGTACTAAAATCTTTATAAAGAATGGTTTTACAAGATCTGAAAAGGAAACTTCTCAGAAGTTTGTTTTGAATTAGTTACATCTACTCAAACTTGCGCATTTTTGGTAAGAATATATAGCAGAAATTAATACTGTTGTGACACCTGCAGTAAAACCGAATTTTGTACTTAGAAATATTGTAGTCTAAGAATTAAGGTTTTATTTTGTGAGTTTAGACGGAAAATGAGAAATAATGGCATTTTTCGGCCGTCATTGCTGTTCGTTCATGTTTAATGGAGCATAGAAAATTAGTCCAGATTTCCTCTAAAATAAATTATGTTGGCCACACCACGGCCTGATTTGGATGTATCGGGTTGAGAGAAATGCATGAAATTTAGAGGACAGCTTAAAAAATACCTTGCCATCACACTCGTTAACATTATTTACTCATAGTTAATTTTGAAATCTATAAATTAAAAAAATTTAGACCACACTCGGAGCAAAATAAAAATTCTGAATATGTGTAAATATCGGTTTATTTGGAACACATTGGTAACAGATAAAGAAATCCGGTCGGAAAAAATAATTATTGAGGCAAATCAATCGTAATTAAGCAGAAAACACTTTAATATTTCAATAATATTTATTTTTTCGATGCCCATTTTAACCCCACCCCCCAACCTTATGACAAAAACTATTTCTTTCACCCTATTATAAAATGCAAACTTATTTCGAACAATTTTTCATCCTCATGTGAATCAGTATGCATCCATTAAAAAATTAAAACGAAAAAACCGCACAAGTTTAACGCGCAAGATCATTACATACAGTTCAATTTTTGCCATATTTTTAGAAATCCGTGTTCACCGCGAAGCCCCCTGTCACAGAGTTTTGCCCGTAATTTTCCTATCTTGGGACGGATTTTTATGAAACTTGGTAAATACATTAGATAATCATCATAGATCGGGAAAATAGCAATATACCGGCAAGGAAAAAATTTAAGTTTAATTGCAGGTGTCATAACAGTATTACACTTTGGTTCACGTCAAATCATGGCTGACGAAAAATAATCCCGGAATCTTCCCTTCCGATTCGGGCATTTTGATACGAGACTGGAGCTGAATTTTTTTATGAGATGAAAAACAACATGTAAACTTCCTGTATTGACCAGATTTATTAAAATTTAGGGCGTGCTGATTTTTCTATATACTGTCAAGAGTGGGGAGTGATTAGGCCCTGGACTAGATTTTCAAGCACCTGCTCAACTTCGACCGAAACAAACTTGCGTGCCTTGCTGGATGGCTATGTATTTTTTGGTACTAAAATCTTTATAAAGAATGGTTTTACAAGATCTGAAAAGGAAACTTCTCAGAAGTTTGTTTTGAATTAGTTACATCTACTCAAACTTGCGCATTTTTGGTAAGAATATATAGCAGAAATTAATACTGTTGTGACACCTATTATCATTATTTGTGGTTACGATAATGACCGAGTATTTACGATTGGATGTTTTATGTGAAAATGTTCAATTTCGTGATCATAATGTAGACAATGAATTGGAAACAAATACCTGTAAATGCTAGTTTTCTCACAAATAATAAATTATTATTTCATGATTTGCCCGATTCGATGAATTTCAGGAAAACTACTTTGTATATCGGAAGTTTCTTCTTGAACGCTGTTTGGTTTTTTTGTTTACATTGTCTATTTATAGAACTGAGGCGATCATGACGCCTATAGCCAGGGCTATGCTTTCAGCAAGCCCGGCTAAATATCTTCTTCTTTACTCCTGGACATCAAGCAGTCAAACTGTTGGCATGATTTTAATAAGCAGTGAGCTCTCAACAACAATTGTAAAATTCATTGCCCTAGGTTTAGGGGCCCGGGTGTTAGGGCGGAGCTATGTAGATTGTATAGTGAAAATGCATAAATTCTTTGAAAATCCTATAGATCATATTGTGAAAGTGCATTATTTCTTTAAAAATCTTCTTCTCTGTTCCTAGGTACAAACAAAATAACTATTAAGTACATAGTTATGATAACCAAGAGTGGCCCTTTAATAATTGGGAATTTCAAGGCGCCTGGGTCAAGAGTTCTGGTGTTATGGCGGGGCTCTCATCATTATAGAGTGAAAATGCTTAAAATAATTCTTTGAAAATCTTCCCTATTACTGATTATTAAATAAACAAACTTAGTATTTATATTAAAAAATGATCAAGAGTGTTTCTTCCAAACTTGTTAATTTTATGGCCCCTGGGTCATGGGTTCTGGTGTAAAAGGGGGTCTATTGATTGATTATGTAGTGACAAAAAATTCTTTGAATATATTCTCCTGTAACCATGGGTATTGAACAAACTAAGGGTATTGCACAAACTAACTAAGTACATAGTTTTTATGACTAAGACTGCCTCTTCCAAAATTGTGAATTTCATGGCGCCTGGGTCAGGTGTTCTAGTGTTAGGGCGGGGTTCTACAGATTATTTAATAAAATACATGAATTCTTTGAAAAAAGTAAGCAAATTATGTATTTTTTCTGCAACAACTGCGGCTTTAATTTCCGTATCAACATCTTAAGAAAAAAATTATTGTGTAAGTTTTCTCAAAAGTCTGTGTCAAATTGTACCTTGGCCCATTTTATCGTCTAAGATCAAACGTTTTTAATGTATCAACTGGATGGAAATGGTGTAATATGCATCAGCTCTTGTTTTTTTGTCAAAGTCCCACATTAAAAAAAACTTTAAGACATTCTTTTGTTAATATTTATGTCTTTAATTAATCATACAAAGTACATTTATATACATATATGTAAAATATTGTATTATTGATCTTTACGTCATAATCCATTAATGGAAGAAACCATTGCTTAATTAAGGACTCTTTCATACATGTACAAACCGGTCCAACTATATACTAGTTTGATTATCATAAAAAATAATGGAGAAAATATTCACTTGATGTGGATATATAATTATGTTCTAATTCGTTTCACTCAAACGAACATAAATTATTTACAATCAAAACAAGAACACTTGTCTACATTGGAAATGGAAGCGCTTGCTTGCCAATATTTATTAGACGTATACATTTACAAAAACAAGTCTTCAATGGTACCGATTCTCTACCTTCCTTCTACAATATATCAAAAATATAATTAATCACACATAACAGTACAAAATGCATTTTAACACAATGCTTTTATATATCCTCACTTCACTGATTAAAAACGTAATATGATGCATGTATAAACACAATTATGCTTCCCGCGCCGCCCAGGAAAAACCATAGATAAAAAACAACATCGATTTATGTTGAAAAAACTATGGAAACCTGGAAGTCCGCAGCAATTGCGAGGTAAACAAAATGAATGGCGGACTCATTCTCACAAACTTACGTACGTATCATATATTATAATGTACAATTAATCGACTAGTTTAAGTAAAACCTATGCAAAATGAATGTAAGTTAGAACTATCTGTAAACACATTTCGACTATATGTAGCTAATATGTACCCTTACACAACAATCTTACATTTATATCAAATTTTACATAAAATTATCTAGAGCGACTAAGCAAATTGTTTCCCATCTTTGACAATTATAATCTGTTATGTACAAAACTTTTAATTTTCTTGAAATGAAAACAATTACTTTCTTTATTAAACAAAATACTAGTAAAATGTTGAAGTAAGTAAGAGGGTGGGTGGGTGGGTGTGAATGTCGCAAAGCAAAGCCTTCGAATGAGTTAAAATAGTGATTAAAGTGAATACCTGTTCACCCTTCTACAGGTATCGACCTTTAAATACTGACCAATAGCTACTGTCGCTATTATTAGCACATAATAAACAAAAGCACGTGTTCCTAGTACATATGATAAATTAATTTCTTTTGTAGATTTTTGAAGATATATTCTCAATAGAAGAATAAATGTTAAAAAAAAATTCCAGTCTATACATATATGATATATATTATCTTCATACAATTACGTTTATCTGTGTCCTTTACAATTTTATCAAACAAATACCACTTTCAGGTCTACAACGCTTTAAATTAAAACAGAAACATTTAGAAACCTATATTAACATATGTTCATTTCTCTGCAATTGTTGCTTAACACATTCTATTCTAAAATCTGTAGCTTCTTTTATTTTGTGATATGGTTCCTGTCTGAGCGATTCTTCAAAAGAATATAAAGCCCCGTGTAAGTCTCCCACAACATGCTGACAGATTCCTAGTATCTGCCAGGATATGTCTCTGATGTGTAAAGGAACATATTTTCCATCATCATAGAGCAGCAGTGTCTGTAGGTCTGTCAGTGACTGTAAACACTGAGATCTATTACCCATTCTATAGTGAGATAACACTGACAACATCTCTACTATAACAAACGGTGATAAAAATAGGATTGTTTTTCCATGTTTTTTACTCACATTTTGTTCTAAACACAATTCTTCAATATAGGGGATATTTACAGATAAAGACACATTATCCACCCAGGCTATTCTCATTCTTCTAGATAAAGACAGATTACTTAAAGCTTCGTTGTACCTTTGCCCATCGACAGTATATTTTAACAAAAACAAGTTTTGTGACAATCTTTGTTTAGTAATATAATTGATACGTACTGTCTTATCATATCTCCCTGTTCTATAGTAAAACAATGCTAAATAAAGGAAATAAGACACAGGACTTAATCTTGCTGCCATTTTCAACATGCCACAAATTTTTGTACCTAAGTTATAGATTTTTTTGTGTTTGCAACATGAAGAACTGTTTGTCATTATGAAGGCTAAACTAACAAGAGTCTCAGCGGTACAGTACTGTAATGTTAATAACTGATGTGGTGTGATTGATAACGGAGATAGAGTGTTAATTGATTTGAAGTATAGATAAGAGTCCAGCATGTGTTGTGCAGGAAAGCGTAATTTAAATATTTCTTCCATGCCACATATATCTAAATCTGCTACACTCATAAATTCTCCCTCAGCAGCAGATATTTCTACATACGGGCTACTTAGGGCTGGTTCTAAGATTGATCTGAGAGTCGGACTCAGCAGTAAACAGGACACGCCCATTCTGTAATACTGATAAAGCTGTTGTAAAAGTGATTCACGTGAATCATTAACAACTTTGTTTATGAACATGTTATTCTGTGGAATGAAAAAATTAGGAAAAACTCCACGATAAACGCAATGAATCAGATATTTTAAACAACTCCAAAAACAATCCAGTAAGCTGTTTGGGCACCATCTAAGTTGTCCTGATTGCATTATCCAGAACATTGTGGTCTTCATGTAATATGAACACAGTAATTTATCCTCCCCACTATTGATAACTTCCTTCAAAAATATTTTCAGGAGTCCGTAACATAGAAACTGTGTATGATTCATGGTACACACTAGTTGTTGCTCAGCCTGAGAAAATGATAATCTCCATTCCAAATCGTCAGAAGTCATATTTACTTTACTACCAATAGGCACACAGTGACATTCATTTTTTAAAATTTTTTCTAGCACAGGTACTGGCGGCCAGGTATACCTCTGACATCTTTCAATCCAACTTCCTAACAGTTTAGGCCAAGGAAAAGTGGCTAAACAATAGGCTTCATCGAATTCAAGAGATCCGTAGAAACCACTGCTACAAGGACCATGGATTTTGATATTTTCGACGGACGGACAATTCTTATTCCTAAACTGAAAAATGTTTTCTCTCCATAGACGACTCGATAAATAATCCCAGCCATTAAAGAGAACACAGCATGATATCGTGCCTTTGTGTCGCAGTGGTGTCAGGAGGCGTAATCTGACAAATCCTGGCGGTGTATCAGAATCTTCCAAAACCACAATTATATATTTTGATGCATTATAAAACCGAGACTGGGAGATGTCAGTTATCAATTTAAATTTACAGAACCAGAACATTTTATCTATGTCAGATGATCTGAACCCGAATCCCTCTCTATAACTTCCACTCTTTATCACAGCATAGCCTTTGTGATTCCAAACAGGTTTCGCTACCATCTCCTCCATGTCCAACACGTCCCTTCTGATGGCCACTTCTGTCGGTGTCCCTATCTTACGACACAGACCAACATACAGGACCTCTGATAGACGGGGAATGTGGTCCATCCTGTATATTAATAGGTTATATTTATTATACATGTAAAGGTAAGTTATACTTAAGTTTCATTATTGAGAAATTTAATATATTTTTTTGAAATAATGATCATTTTTGTATAACTTTCGTAAATAGTCATTGTCTCAAGCCACGGTTCGGAGTCTACATAATAGCTCTCTCCTACCCGTGACTATTTGATCACATAAATTGTCGTAATCTTGAATACATTGTATTTACACCTTAATTCATGCTACATGACATCATGTTCAGCCAATGACAATATTTTTTCCATCGCAATTGAAATCAACATCGACATCATCAGTAAACAAGAAATGTTTTGTGAATTGAGATTGGGCATTGGAAGGTTGCGTTAAAGTTTATTTTCCGACTATACAGCTGTACTTTACTCGCATTGGCCAATATTTTTAATGGTATACGAAATATTCTGACTGCCAGAATCGGATAGGACCGTACATTTTGGTCATGGTATGCGAAGATGGTAGACAGTACATGTAAGCTCCACAATAATTTTTCGTGATTTGCGATTTGAGAAACATTGCCTCGATCCAGATTAATGACAGTGTTTAAAATTTGGTGAATGTTTTGTATTTTTTAAACATTGTATTTGATGAAAGACACCAAAAAGTTATACTTCAGTGTCATTGCTGAGAAATTCAACATTTCTTTAGATGATTACATAATTTGTATTTTAAAATAAACGTATACATACATGTACCACTTATCAATTTTGGATTTCTTATCCTCTCTCTGCAAATGGCGGCCTGTGGGTATATTAAGTTAAAGAGAAACACCCGGAAAATATTGTTTCGATTTCTGTACTTGTAAACCCAAACAAATAGGTGATTCTTTTCTCAATACATCTATATACATGTTGTTGGGTCGATAAAAAATAGAATTGCAATTTTCAGTCACAGTAAAAAAAATCAGACGTTGACCCAGGGGCGGTAACATAGATTGTTATACGTTTCGATTTTAAAAAAATAAACATTTCAAATGTTTTAATAAGCGATCATTGAACATCAGTGTTTGATTACAGAGTGAGATGTTGGATTTGCCGATGGGCTTTCGTCACAGTGTGGGCGGAGTCAGCTAAAATTACCTTATTTATATTCCTTGGAGTTCGACGTCATTTTTCAGAACTTCACGGAATTGACCAAGTTTAAATCCCAGTGCGGGAAAACGAAATTTACATCATCATCAAGATGTGTCAAAATAAAAAAGTATTTAAAAACATTTATTGACTGTGCTATCAGGGGAAAATGCGTTTTGTCGACCCTCTTATCAAACCCTTTCCGTTCGGCCCAAGGCCTGAGGCAAACAGAAACAGAAACTACAAATAACTGGAATTTTTGGACTGGAAAGTCCAAGGGGCATATCTATGTCAAAAATGGCCCAAACGTATCCAAAACAAAACGAGAATTTTTCACTCAGATGGAGACGTCACCACTTGCCGATGGAGAGCTGCAAATTTTCTCCTATGCTCGGCGCTCAGGGCACTTGAGCTGTTTAGGGTCTTTGTCGTGTCAGTACATGTACCTACTGCGATACATGACCTCGGTTTATACTTCATTCGAAATATGAAGTAAGAACTTGATACTTACGTCGCGGGTTCGAATCCCACAATGGGACGTGGAGGCCTATCCTGAGGGACATTAGATCTGAAAACGATTCGTAAAAGGAATGTGTCCACCATTTTTGTACGGAGAATTGCTATACCTGCAGACTCCTATATTAAGGGCAGAACTTTGTCACTATTCATTGTAATCAGTCGACACCGATGTAGACGGACGTATGCTATACAGCACCCAGTAGCGACAATAATAACGTAATACTTCGTCTATTGCAGGGAAGTAAGATACCAAAGAAGTGTTCAGCTTTAAACAACATACGATCAATCGATCATCGTGACACCTTGGGCAGACACTTTGTTAAATCAATCGTTGGTCGGTCAATATTCAGGAATTAGGATATCGCAAACGTCGGCCAACATGGTAATCAAACCGCAGCTCAGCGAACAATAAAAAACTCTCACTGCTAAAACCCCAGTCACATTTACAAAAACGACCAACGGCCGACGGTTTTGAAGCAAAACTAGGATTCTTCGAGTGACAGTCGGATGTTCATCGGCCGTTGTCTTGCCCGATTTTGAGGGGGTTTTTTTGTCGGCCGACCAATTTTGTGTCTGTCGGGCCATGTTATATTTTTTTCTGCGTCGGTGGCCGATTCTTCCAATTGAAGCGGTCGTTAAATAGTCTGTCGACCAACCTTCGATCAACGTCCGACCATCGGCAGAGAGTTTTTTAAGCCGGTCGTCGGTCGGTCGACATTTAGGAATTAGATTTTCATAAATGTCGGCCGACGGTGAAAATCAAACTGCGGATTAGCAAACGATGAAAAGACGACTTTTGGCCGACGAATAATTATTAAATTTTTGAAAATTATCTGTGTTTTTAGGAATTAATGTGACTGCTACGAGTCGCCCGACACTTCTGTCGGGCGATCATGTTTTCAGCCGACAATACGAGAAAAATTTAGTCGCCCAACCATCGGCTTAAATGTGACCTACGCATAACTGGCCTTGAGTCCCGAGTAAAAGTTTTAATAAGTCCTTCATCGATATTTGCCCCAATACTAATGCGTTCGGAACCTTTTTTTTTGGGGGGGGGGTGTACTGCACATTATAAAACCCGATGAGTTCAGAGTAGCTCTTTCGGTGGCTCTGGCGAGAGTTAGCGAGACTGCAGCGAGATAAGGTAAATTATTCACGGAAATAGGAAGTGACTTGCACGTGGAGACATGATAAACAGAAAGTTATACTGCGTTTCAGTTTTATCAATCGATCACTCTTGTATTCATTCACACTTAAATAAGTATTCTCTATGATACAATTTCTAGTCATGAATTAAAATTTTCTTTTAGAACAAATATTCTTGCATGGGAACCGGGACTATATTTTTGGCGTCAGATTAGCAAATGAGGCACCAACATGACTTTACTGACAAATCAGCTGAATGAGAATTGCATTATGGGTTACTACGAATACTATAGGAATTTTACGCGTGAAAGAAAAGAAAAATCTTATGGTGATCGGAAAGACAAAAAGACCATTTTTCCATCTATTTAGTAAATGAAAAGCATTTTAAAAAATATTATTTTCATGTTTACAATGAAAAACAATTCATTTGTTAAATAAACGCTGGAAGTTTAGGTTTCTCGAAGTCATGCTGCAATTAAAAGTGATTTGCGACTCTATTAATTCTTTAGTTGCACTATTGGTGAATACAATTGTCAGGCGTATTCCCTGGCCAAAAAACACGAGATCACGAGTATAGTTATGCAAAAAACTGTTTTGTCCATTTAAAAGCATAATAGATGCTGCTTGTTTTCCTTACCCTTGTTGAAGCGCTGGTGTTCTGAAATTGACACAAAGTACATTTTATTAAACAAATTTTTGTCTAGTCAACAAAAGATTAAAAACGCGCGTGACATCTTTCATGCTTTCTAATCTTTGTATTTTGATCATTAGAACATTTTGTTTCAATTTTGCACTGCACTAACATGGTCATAGATTTACCTTAAACACGTGTTCGAAGTAAAATGTAAACATGTATTTGGCGTAAACGTTGCTATTCAACGATTGGTCAGTTGCTCGTGGTAAGATCCTACCTAACAATAGCCATTTAAGGCAACAAAGATTTGTCAGTGTAGATGATATTACACATTTTACCAGCGTATCGGTCGCAAGAATGTTCTAAATTTCGCCGTAAATTACGATAAGATACATTGTTATCCCCCCCCCTCCTTTAGCCACCATTTTCTATTGAAGATCACGAAAGTCTTTCAGAAAGGTCTGGAAACACATTTTTCACAGGGCATCTTTTCAAAAGAAATACAGACGGTATTCAAACAGACTATGTCCATTTCCTGTTTACTGCCAATTTTATTTATAAAACACCGGTTCCATCCTATAACCTTTAAATGGGTCAACCTAAACCACGTGTCTTGAATTTAAATAACACTAACATAAGTAGGGGTGATTTGGTGACTTGTATATATGAGTGAAACATTCTCAAAGGGACGTAATAGAACCTTGAATCAATCAATCTTAGATTCATTTTCTTTTGTTGTTACTCATTGCTGTGGTATGGTTACTTGTGCTAGGTTCCTGGAATGTGTTCAGACACAACAGAATTGTTAGTTTGACCAGCTCAGGGACATAGTTCCCTGGTGTATTTGTAACTTCCTTCAGCGTCTCTGTGACTATACCTTGTGTTTGTTACCAGACGTTTAGTGCAGTTCTCGATGAATTGTTATGATGTCTTGCTGACTTGATCTTTTCTCCAGTGACTTCATGGTGTCCCTGAGAATTTTTGATAGGAGGTTTTACAATATGTTACACTTTTTATGTTTATGTTACACTTTATGTTATTTGCAGGCTTTGTCGGGAAAAATAGAATTTTTATTTTCAGGGATACATTTATATTTTACATGTATATACAGTTCATTTGGCATATAATTTTTTTTATTAATGGAATGGTTTATTGTTAGGTTATATCTAGTTATCATGCTTGCTTAATTTAATTATTAAAAAGTACATAACTCGGATTTCCAGTCATTTTAATCTGTATTCTTCTATTAGAAGCTGCCGTTGGTATTACTGAAATTTGTTTTGATTCTTTGTAAGGAGACTTATGCATATCCAATGCTAAATCATTTGAACTTCAGAGTTTCAAAAGAATAAAACTTAATTTAATTTAATTGTTCATTTATAGGACTGCATTATTTAAAATAAGTATACTACACCGATTTGATTAATCAGCCATTTTCATAACACACGCCCCCAGACTTGTATACTTTATCATTTGCTATTCGTTGAACTATATTACACTATTACAATATAAATAACTAGTAACATGCATTGTGTGAAGATAAGTTTATACTTACTTGAAATACTGATAACAAACCAAGGGGAGGAGATATCCCGGCTACCT